TAGTATATTTTGAAACCGAAAGCAGCGCCTTGCTAAGCTCATCAAGGCGAATCTTCATATATACAGCATGTCTTTGATATTTCGATTTCAGTATCCTTGAATCTTTCTGAGGACGCCTTTTCGCGAAGGTGTAAAGCAGCGAGCATTGTCCCGAGAACATTCCAGCAAGGACATTTCGATAGCACTTCTGTAGATTATGATGTGCTAAATAGTAGCCGCAGGTTTCTTTCCAAAAGAAATAGAACGGCTGGTGAATTGTGGAAAAATCTTGTCGTCTCAAATTCTACTCGCCATAGCCCCAGGATACGAAGCTATTTTGCTAAGCAGATGTGAGTTTCGAAATTAGCAGGTCGGATAGCCTCTGTGAGCAAGTTTTCCGATATATTCGGGTTATTCCATTTTTTCTCTTTTTACGCTCCAGAAGCTCGCCGATGGATTTTGGTCAAAATGTTGATGCTCCTGAATTGTAAGGAAACTTTGCTTATAGAGGTTTTCGAACACGCTCTTTACGAAAATCGTGGTCTTCGAGGATTACAGGGTCTTTTTGGAGAGATACGGTGAGGTGACTGTAACTGCATCACGAAAGTGCGTAACTTTGGCCGCACTTCTCGCGTATCTGTCAGAAACCTTGCCTGCTTGCTTTTCTCAGCCAAAGTTACTAGGAACTGTGCTATCGGAAGGTGCATTACTCAGGCTCCAGTCTTTGAAATTCGCCGAGTTACGAGCCTACGAAAACACGTCCTCCTGAATTTTGCCCAAAATGTAAAGATCGCATATCTCGTCGAAATTCCTCCGTGAGCGCTTGTATGACGCTCGTTGCGGATATTATGTTCGCTTTGTCGAACGACTCCCACTGTACTGAATATGGTGCTTGCGTCTGCTTCAGCTGCTCAATTGAATATCAAAGCTATTTCGTGGCTAGTATACTTGGGTCCAAATCGAATAATAGAAATTCGATCATTCGAATAAAACATTCGAATATATTCGTATTCAAAATTCGATATTCGGAGTTCTTCCATTTTCGAATAATATTCGAAACTCGAATAATTGAGAAAACGCGTTTTCGAATAAAATTTGAAACTCGAATAATCAAAAAAAAAACAGGGTTTCGAATAAAATTCGAAAACTCGAATAATCAAAAAACGAAGATTCGAATATTATTCGAAAATTTGAATAATCAAAAAGCGGGGTTTCGAATAGATTTTATTCGAATGTTTATTTCGAATGTTTATTCGAATTCGTATTCGAATGAACTTCGTATTCAAATTATTCGACTTTGTTGCAGAGCCAACTGCTGAGTATCAAGCTCACTTCGTCGGCGTTTATTTTCGCAAAACTCGGTAATGCATCTTTTGCAACAGTTATGACCTTTAAACTGCATGGAGGGTCGCATTCTTCCGACTGCTTGACAGTAAAAAATCATATGTGGATTTTAATTGATGCTTTTTCGATCAATGAGATTGTTCGCACTGCTATTGGCACCCAATCAGTAAAGAAGCTATCAAATTCAAGCTCATGTTCCGAGGTCATATATTGAAAGTATTTTGAAATGCCTGTTTTTGTTTCTTTGCATTGCTCATGCTTGTGGTACGCAAAGCCCACACTAGTGAGCACCCTTGCTCGCATAAGTTAAATTGCACAACTGCCTCTATTCGCTACCTTAGAGATTTTTTGTGAATTGATGTATGTTGAGTAAAGGACATCGCAGTTGTAGTGGAGAATCAGACGGTTTAGATCGCCGTACGCGATTTGCCAGTTACGAGACGTCTTCAAATGCAACGTCAGCTTACCACAAATGTTTAGCGTGTACAACTTACTAAAAAGATAAATGCCCTGTATTCTACTTCTAGAATAAGTTTTTGACTATTGCCAAACCACGTCGCCACTGAAATGCCTGCGGTGTGCCCGGGACTATGGGGGGATTCGTGCTCGCTTCGTGGAATATTAGAATTCGATTTTTGGAGAAGTTTGAGTTGCGGGGCTGGGAGTTGGTACAGGGGGTAAGTGAGGGTGCTGATTATAAATAAAAATTTACCTTAGATTTTATCGACTTTTGGAAAATCTTGAGCTACGAGGTTGGGAGTTGGTACAGGGGGGGGGGGGGTAAATGAGGATGCTGATTAAAACCGAAATCTATTTTATAGATTTCAGCAATTTTTGGAAAATTTTGAGCTAGGAGTTGGTATAGGGGATACGAGGGTGCTGATTATGAATCGATCGGCTTTAGCCAGATATGTCGGCAAGTTTGAGATTTGGTTGCTCTAGTTATTCGATAAATCATTCGAATATTTATTCGAAATTCGACTTCCAATGTTCGAATATATTCAATGTTCATTCATTCGATATTTTTGATTTTCCGAATTTATTCGGAATTCATTCATTCGAGAATTTTTGAACCTCGAATTTATTCGATATTCGTTCATTCGAAATTTTTCCTTTTCGAATTTATTCGATATTCATTCATTCGATGAAAAATTTTCGAATCACCCAAGTATAGTGGCTAGAGCTCAAAGCACCAAATCTAACACAATAAGATCCATTAAAAATGTGGAAGGATTTGATCAGCGCGTTGAACAAGTGCTCACGGAGGAATTTCGGCGAGATATGCGATCTTTACATTTTGGGCAAAATTCAGGAGGACGTGTTTTCGTAGGCTCGTAACTCGGCGAATTTCAAAGACTGGAGCCTGAGTAATGCACCTTCCGATAGCACAGTTCCTAGTAACTTTGGCTGAGAAAAGCAAGCAGGCAAGGTTTCTGACAGATACGCGAGAAGTGCGGCCAAAGTTACGCACTTTCGTGATGCAGTTACAGTCACCTCACCGTATCTCTCCAAAAAGACCCTGTAATCCTCGAAGACCACGATTTTCGTAAAGAGCGTGTTCGAAAACCTCTATAAGCAAAGTTTCCTTACAATTCAGGAGCATCAACATTTTGACCAAAATCCATCGGCGAGCTTCTGGAGCGTAAAAAGAGAAAAAATGGAATAACCCGAATATATCGGAAAACTTGCTCACAGAGGCTATCCGACCTGCTAATTTCGAAACTCACATCTGCTTAGCAAAATAGCTTCGTATCCTGGGGCTATGGCGAGTAGAATTTGAGACGACAAGATTTTTCCACAATTCACCAGCCGTTCTATTTCTTTTGGAAAGAAACCTGCGGCTACTATTTAGCACATCATAATCTACAGAAGTGCTATCGAAATGTCCTTGCTGGAATGTTCTCGGGACAATGCTCGCTGCTTTACACCTTCGCGAAAAGGCGTCCTCAGAAAGATTCAAGGATACTGAAATCGAAATATCAAAGACATGCTGTATATATGAAGATTCGCCTTGATGAGCTGAGCAAGGCGCTGCTTTCGGTTTCAAAATATACTAATTCCGAAGAAAGTTATGGCGAGTAGAATTTAAAAACGCGTAATTTTTCCAAAATTCACCAACGCTTCTATCTCCTTTGGAAAGAAGTCTGAACCTATTTTTAGCGCACAATAATCTACAGGAACAGTATTATCGAATAGCACTCAGTAAAGTCTTCTATGTTGGGTAAGCGTTGCTTCACATATTCGCGAAAGGACCTCCGCAGAACAAATTGAAAAAACTGGAAACCGAATATCGAAGACATCGTACCCCCACTTCCAATAAATCAGAAGATTCTCCGCGCCGAGCTGAATCGAATGGTGGCTTTGGATTCAAAATTCGTCCACTCTGAAGCGAGATATGGCCGCGCGACGCTGATATGGACATGTCCATACATGTCCATACATTCGCGTCTAATTTTCAAAAAATGTGAGCGGTATTGTACGCAATGTGATAAATCAGCGCTTTATGAATATTGCAAACAGAGTTTTGTGGAGTAAAAGTGTGACAACCCTATGGTGAGGTTGGAGTCTGTCCGCCAATATAGCGATTACGCAGAGTTTATGGAAGCGCTTCTCACCTCACCTATCGAAAATGCTCAGTAGATTTTATTGCTACCATTTGAAATAAACAAGGGCTTGAAAACTCCTTAAACCAGCTTCTTGTTAAAGCAGATTGGCTTTTGGTGCTTTTGAGAGCAAAAAATGCAGTGATCGCTTCTATTCGAGTGGGATGACAGGCCGTAGGTGTTGCAAATGTTTCATATTTTGAAGTGCGATTGTACAAAAAAAATTTGAGAGTCAACGAATGCGATAGTGATTAGAAAACCAGGTGGCTTTACAATTTTGTCCAGCTTTCAAAGAGGGCTTTTTTGATTTTTTTTCGTTTTTCTCCGTTCAAACTCAACAAGACTGGAAGCCGTTTTGAGGAGTCGTGCTAGGTTGACATGCGCAGAATACAGCAAAGTTTCAGACAGATTCATTGGCAAGAACGAAAATTACGACGATTTCTAGAGTGGCTTTATAATTATGTCCAGAACTGTATGTCATGTTATATGACTACTTATGAGTTGCTTGAGCAAACTTTTATCAGTTATTGTATCTTTAGCGTTATCTTCGAAAAAAAAAGGATTCCCGACCAGTGAAGGACCTCGAGAACCGTTCTTTGATTCTAGAATGAAAGACAAACGAGAGAGATCCAAAAACTTGCTTTGAGATTTGCCAATTGAGAGCGCTGTGCAAGCGAAGGACCATTTACTTACACACAAGGGAATTGATTAGAACTAGATTGGAAGAAGTTTGATGCAAAGAATAGCTGCGTGCTTTCACCCAAATGGTCCCCAAGTATAGGCACAAAAGCATTGTCTACCTCTTTTAATGATTGACTGCGATACCTCCGATAGTGTCGAACGCTGCTTCTGTGGTGCACTCTAATAACGCGCTAAAGTATCAACAAACCCCGTCTTAATCAACTTACATCTATAGTAAGGCGCATGACTTGGGACATGATATACTAATGTTTCCGCCAGCATATTTCTGTATCTTGTCTTCAACCATGCATCACCTCTGTTTCTATCAAGAAGCTCAAGAGTAAAGCTGCTTCGCCCCTGAGAAAAAACATGTTGAAATCTTTTGTTACCCACCAGAATCAACTGATTGAGTAGTGTTGATTGTTTCATCACAAAGCCGAATGTTCTTTTGCACACTTCCTAAAGCTTATTCAAATTTCTTACGGTTGTTAAGAAAGCATAGAATGAACTCACTGAACTCAAAATCTCTAATTGGTTCTCCGAACAACTTTCTAGTCACTTCCTAATAAGCCTAAATACCTATTAAATATGTTTGTCTACTCAGAAAAGATCCGGCCTACGTTTTAAGTAGACGAGGTGCTACTTAATGCAAACATCTAATGGTTTTGAGATCCGTGGGATTCTGCGTTACATTTTCGTAAGACTTCATTTGCAAAAACAAATCTTTCTTCACAAACTGAGGGTGATGAGGTTTTGGTGCTAATAGCGGGGCCTTTGATACAAAAGCCGCCCAAGTTCAAAAGACAGAATTTCGAGGAGAGAAAATGCTTTAGAAGCTATCTGTCAATAAGTTTGTCTCGCCCATCAACGCGAGTGGTTTCAAAGTAATGTGTCTGAATTGGCTCTAACTAGCTAAAACTGCCAAAAACTTCTTCTTGATGAGAGAAAGATTTTTGACATATAAAGTGCGGTTCATAATTATACGAACACCCAGAATTTTGTAAGTTTTTGAACTTTTTGGGAGAAACTCAAAAAGCCGTTGGTACCACGCGATAGAACACAGCCGAAAACGGTATATGATCCATAATAATGGAAATCGATGTCAACTGTAGGAGTGTTTTTGCGGCTAATGCGAATTTTTAGCGGTTCATAATTATACGAACACCTCAAACAAAGGTCCATTTTTCATTCAAGATTGCAATCATTCGAGTCCAAATTTTTTTGTAGAGTTACAGTAACAAAGCCTGACATATCTGATAAACACTCAACCCAGTGCACTCCAAAAAGAGGACCGTTACTTTTTCAGAAGGCTCCAAATGCTTTTAAAGTATTTGCGTTCCAAAAACATCCCTTCTTCTGTGGTTTACGCGCTCTAATTAGCTTCTGCCAAAGCTATGAGATAGAATAAGCCCTTTCGATAGGTATTTTGTTTGATGCTTGGAAAATGTTTGCGTTTTCGTGCCGTTTTTCAACCAAGTTCCAACCTTAGCACAGAGTTAGCACAATTTCGAGCCTCAAAATCAGCTTCTCTCTTGCGCAAAAATTTGATATGAAGTAGCTGCATTGTTTGCATGATGATGTTTCTATACCAAAGTTTTCGGGTTTTTTCTAGAACTGATCTTGCGGCTGTGGAGCTACAAACCAAATAAAGGTGTGATTGCAATAGTAAAAACGGTCTTTCTAATGAAATAACTTCTGCGTGACCAAAACAAACGCTCAACGCTGCTGGTTTTTTCTAGCCAAATATAAAGTCTTATAAACTTCTACATACTGTATGCTTACTTCATTGTACGGCTTCAGAAGCTGAGTTTTGAGGCTCGAAATTGTGCTAACTCTGTGGTAAGGTTGGAACTTGGTTGAAAAACGGCACGAAAACGCAAAGATTTTTCAAGCGTCAAATAAAATACCTATCGCAAGAGTTTATTTCATCTCAAAGCTTTGGTAGAAGCTAATTAGAGCGCGTAAACCACAGAAGAACGGATGTTTTTGGAGCCCAATCACTCCAAAAGCATTTAGCCCCTTTTGAAAAAAGTAACAGTCTTCTTTTTGAACTGCACTGGGTTCATTGTGTAGCAGATATGTCAGACTTTGTTACTGTAACTCTTCAAAAAATTTGGACTCAAACGATTGCAATCTTGAATGAAAAATGGACCTTTGTTTGAGGTGTTCGTATAATTATGAACCGCTAAAAATTCGCATTAGGCGCAAAAACACTCCTACACTTGATATCGATTTCCATTCTTGTGAATCATATACCGTTTTCGGCTGTGTTCTATCGCGTGGTACCAACGGCTTTTTGAGTTTTTCCCAAAAAGTCCGAAAACTTACAAAATTTTGGGTGTTCGTATAATTATGAACCGCACTTTATAGCTAAGCTACCAGTGGCGGCCACAACCCCGAAGAGTTTTTTTTTCACATTGTACAAGTATAAACAAGTCACTTGCACAATTTTTCAACTCATGTAAGTAATTTTCAAAAATCTCGCGACCCAGCGCTCCCCCCCCCCTTCCCTTTTCGGTCCGCCGTTGCTAGCCATCTACTGAGAACTTATTTCAGCCTACTTTTGGACCGCCTCATGTGGTGGGGACAAACGTATCAGTGGGCACCTGAAAGAATTTTGTCCCTTTGGATTTTTTGCAGGGATTTAGCGGCGATGGCTCGGCAAATCTTCAGAGCATCTGTTTCTCGCTTACCTGGGGTGATACGCTGCGCTAATTTCGAATAGACCTTACAAAAACACGAAGCTGGCTACAACGAACATTTCTCAAAGCCTTCAATATCTAACATGGAAGTCGTTGCGGGACCTTATGCGTATAGCATTGCGGCATGTTGCGCTCTGACGGTGGAAGGGAAATCGCAGGGTGGGCGAGATTAGAGATGGGAAACTGGGCAAGACCTTAAGGCAAGATTTATTCTGATTTAATGTTCCGGAACAGTTCCAGCACAGTTTTCGCAATGTGCTGCAACTGTGCCGGAACTGTGCGAGATTTTTGACCGTTTTTGACGGTTTTCTTACATTTTTCTCTCATTTTGGTCCTATTCTTTTACCCCGCTCCCCCTTTTGATGAGCAGCACTCCAAACTTAGAGCGGAGTTGAAGAATGAGAGCTGTTCTGCTATTCTGATGTGTGTCCTTCCAATCGTCCAGTCTTTTTTTTTTGTTTCATTTTTGCTCCGATCTATTCCATTTGTTCCATGAGGCCGCTGCGTTGTTTCCACAGCCTGTTTTGAATTGGGCATGCGAACAGTTCTGAAAATACGAAAACTGGGTCTTTTCTTTTGTTTTCTGATGACGTTTTTGGGCATTTCCAGCCCCATTCCTTTTCTATTTCGCTGTATCCCTTCTTTTTTACTACCCGCTTCTTGTGATCAGAAAAGCAGCGAACTTGAAGCGGAGTAAAATGAATGAACGCTGTTCCGCTCCGTGTATCCAAGAAAGATGGGTCTTATTCAGAACGACGCTCATTCTCCAACTCCGCTTCGAGATCGAGGCTTTTCTCAATAAAGAAAGCGGAGCAGGAATGAGACAAACATGAATGAAGTTTGGGAGGAAGAACGTTGAAAACGGTCAAAAATGTCTGATTCCTGCCGCTCAGAACCACATGCGGGCGGCTGCAGCGAATGCAACACAATCCCGGCACAGTTTCAGTAAAGCGCGAGAACTATGCTAGAACTGTTCCGGAACATTCGGATCAGTACGAACTCAACCTAAGGGAAGATGGAGGCGCTGCCTTTGCGTTGGATTTTCAGAGGTTAGAAGTGGCAGCGAAAGATCGAACTTGGCCTATAGGTTCTTCCATTATGGGGCTTCTACTCTATGACGTTGTTTTACCATGAGTCTTACTCTGCCGAGGCACTGCCTTCAAGCAATCAATTAGTCAAAAGACCGCTATTCGCTATACATCATTGAAATCTCGACGCCTTCAATTTGAGCGGGTAGTGCCTTCAAATGCTCACGGCAAACACATCATCTCGCTAACACTTGACTTTTCAAGAATAAAGACGGACGCACGCTTTCATATGTAAGCTATTCCCACCTCCATTACATCCAAAAAAGTTGTGACTTTGCACAGTTATTTGTCGCAATTATTCATTGCATCTTCGCACCCTAAAGTATAACTTAAAAAAAATTTTCTTCTGAGATGGTGCTGAAAAATCTTGATCTGATAGCAGAAAAATACGGCCTGTCTGTCGTAGCTGCTCGCATATACGTCTTTTAGATATCGCTATTTGCAACTGTACTGGGTCATCATTCGGTCGTCATTTACTATGAGCCAGAGGAACCAGAAAGAAACGAAAATTTCGAGTTTGTTCGAAAGTGTGAAGGAACACATTTGTAATCTTTATTGGTTTTGCATAAAAGGGAATAGTGGAAATCGAAGTGTCCAACCTTAAAAATCTGCATAGCATTAGATGCAGCATTAAACGCTAATTTCAAATCTGTATTCCTGCTTAGCGCCTATGTGGGCGAAGTTATGACCGTGCATGCAAGGCGCAAATTTGGCAGTACAGAGCCATGTTTGGCTCAACGCTTGATCATGCAGCTAGGTTACTTCATACTCTTAAAGCTTAAAGGTGAACTGAAAGTGCAACAATGTGCCCAATTTCGCTTATTATACACGATTTTTTCGCAATAAAACTGCCCATAATCGTCCACAAAGCTGCTCAGCAGATGCCGAATACAGATTCGAAATCAGCGTTGAATGCTGCAGCGAATGGAAGAAGCCTGCTTGCATCGGCCCTTCGACTTTTGACCATTCCCTTTTTAGCTTCTTCTTCTCACGAGGTGTCTACCTGATTTGATAATGTGGCTGTGTACATCTAGAAATCCGCTTTGTACAGCGCAGAGGTCATATCATATAAGTTCTCAATCCTCGATTAAATGAGAATTAAAAAATTTATTTGCGTTTTTTTTCTCGCACAGTTCACAGGTCCTCGGGCACTTCTTTACCAAATTAAGAACTTTTATCCATGCTGGGTCCATGCAATACTTTTTCACCTTGGAGCATCTAAAGTCTGTACAGTGTTTATCGAATATGTACTATATTATCGTATACTCGAACATTTTGCCTTTCAAGTAGCATTTATGCAAAAACGTGTGAGCTTGAGCGACGTTCTTGTGAGTGAAGGTTGTGCAGAAATGTGTGCACGGTGAAGACCCTGTCCACTCAATACCGATAATCTAGTTAAAATGTGGATTACTGATAACCTACTTAATGATTGTTTATCTACTGTTACTCTCATAAATTTAACAAGCTCAAAATAAATTTTTTGATGAGGAAAACAAATTGAATGATCTTTGCAATTCTTAAGTTCTCCGAGTTATGACATGTGCAGAAAGTTGAGATCTTATGCTTCGACGGTACACTAAGAAGGGAAGGATAACTGGTGGCCGTGCCCTTTTAAAATATGTTATAAATCAAATTGTTTGCTTTGAACGCTGATCTCGAACCTATCTTTAGCTGCAGAACGCTTTTCCGCGAGAAATTAGTTCTTGTGAAGACGCTAACGCAAAAAGACTTGCACCGAACAAGGTCAAACGAGCAGCCATTGCGCAATAATCCACAGCGCTAACCACTAGACCATTCGACATTTAGCACGTACTATCCACAAACACGTCAGATGAGGAGAAATACGGTTATTCCGAGTTATCGTTCTGCAAATAACGAGTATGGTTTTGAGATCAGCGTTTTAAGGCGAATGTCATGGCATATGTCACATAGGCCACGGCCACGAAGTATCCTCCTCCCTTCAGGTCTGAATTGCCAATTTGTGTTCGCAGAAGTTGATTCAATGCTGGGCACCAAGTTCTCAAAGGGAGTAAAACTAGTTTCCAAAAAAAAAAATCGTCGTTCTGTAGCGCTCACTTTTGTCATCTTCACAGTCGTACTTGGCTGTCTTGCAGCATAATGCACATGTCCTTGGACAGGTATCCAGAACCCTCTTGAGAATTTCTTTGTTAACTTCCTTTGAAAATACATCACTCTGAAATTAATGCTTGTAGCTGCTCAACTAACAGTTAGTTAGGAAATAGAAGTATTAGGTTGCCTCATAATTCTTTTCATTTTTGAGTTTTTGCTGTGATAAGTCGTGCACTTTTCATTCTAACAATAAGTAGGCAGCAGGATACCATTCAATAGAGCAAAGCAAGCTCTATAAGATTACGTCTATGCTTTTGCACCAGCTGATCCATCTCAAGTACAAAACCGAAATCTAAAAAGTTTCGGAAGCTTAGAAAATTGAAAAATTTTTATGTCTTCGTTCGAAAAAGTCCTACAGATCTTTCACTCGCTCACGCATATACACTTTACATCAAACACTCGCATGTGCTGTTGCTGTATTTTTTATTAGCTAGAAATCAAGAAAACGCAAATTTTTATGTTTTTACCAAAGCGATGCTGTGCTGTTCTTATACTAACAGTTGCATACTACAAGCCTTTAGAAGCACAAGAGTAAATTTTAGCTCTTTATGAGCTCTAGTTACCGAGAAATGCTAGGTTAAGCGTAAAAAGCCCGAATGAGGAAAGCTAAATTCGGTATTTCTCGGTAACTAGAGCTCATTGAGAGCTAAAAATTTAGTGTTGTACTTCTAAAGGCTTGTAGTATGCAACTGTTAGTATAAGAACAGCACAGCATCACTTTGGTAAAAACATGGAATTTTTCGTTTTCTTGATTTCTAGCCAATAAAAAAATACAGCAACAACACATATGAGTGTATGATGTGAAGTTTATATGCGTGAGCGAGTGAAAGATCTGTAGGACTTTTTCGAACGAAGACATAAAAAATTTTCAATTTTCTGAGCTTCCGAAACTTTTTAGATCTTGGTTTTGTACTTGAGATGGATCAGCTAGTGCAAAAGCAGAGACGAAGTCTTATGGAGCTTGCTTTGCTCTATCGAATGGTATCCTGATGTCTATTCAGAATAAGAAGTACACGACTTATCACAGCGAAAACTCAAAAATGAAAAGAATTATGGGACAACCTAATAGTTAATGTCCTTTTCGTTATGCTTTGGCCTCAAAGGCATAACATTTGAATCTCATCAAATGTACATCGGATTCAAAAGCTCAGTGAACATGAGCCTGCACATTAGCATCTTTCTACTTTTTCAAATATAGAAATTAGCAAAATATCTCGAAGCATGCCAGAGTACTTCAGAGTGTACTTTGGGAAGGTCCTAGGTACCTGCTGTAGTGCACGTACAGGCTTGCTCTACGTGACATTAGATCACTTTATACTTCACAAAATCATTTCAAGCTTGTAATTTTGAATGCTGTGTTGAAGTTCACACTTTGAAGTTTCACAAATTTCTTCCTGAAACTTTGTATCAATGAATCTTTTACATGTCAAACCTCGCAAAAAATCAAGGCTATGTTGAAACTCTTGACATACCGTCCAACAAGCAAAAAACCTGTCCTTTTGATTTCCGATACCTGGTCTCTCGATGCCCGCGACCTCGTAAAGTCTTTCGCAAATTGTTCTTGGCAGTTTGTCATCGCAATCGAAGGCCTCCGCTTTATACTGAAATTTATGTAACAAATGGATATCACCGCTGATCATACCTTCGATACACACGTACTCTGGTAACCTCCACTTTGAGTGTCATGAGAGGACACAACCTTCACCTGGAGAGGAGTACAAGTTATCCGGGGCGAAGCCCCGGATATTGTGACATAACTAATGACTAACTATGTAAGGACGAATGTGAATGAGGCATATAGTAGTGACATCCAAAGAAAAGCTCAAAAAACCGAAAGATTGCGTTTTCATGGCCTTTTTTGCTGAAAAGAGGGTTTTTCTTCAAAAATTCAGTTAGAAATTAGGATAAAACTTATCAGTTAACCTTTCTATAGATTGCGATTGAGCGTTGGAGGTTCATGAAAGCCGCTGGAGTTCAACAAAAACGAGAAACTGCGCTGAAATCTTGCGCAGAGAGTCGCCACATAAATGCTGGTCGATCTCGTTATGGAGTGAGATTCAAGACCCGCGACGTTGTCAGTGCTCCTGGCCGTGTCATGAGGATCACAACGATATATAATATTATAGGGTTTCGTTATGATCCCGCGGAGATCAATGACCAGAGCCAAATGCCCCGCCGGCTCTGGTCTCTCTCCGCTGCTCGTCTGCGTCTCCGCGCGCTGCGCGCTACCTCGCTACCCCAAGCGCGGGGCGCGGAGCATTTGGCTCTGGTACTCTTTTCTTCGCTGTTTCGAACCCAATTTTAGCAAGCTATATATCATTTTGAAGCTCTTGATCTCTATTTTCACGCTGATAACGTCGCAGGACTCCTTTTTATGATTTAAACAAGAAATCCGGCAAAAACCTTGTTTTTGAAAATCCCTCGTTTTTCTCCTAGTTTGACTCTTTTCACGCAGTTTTTTTGTGTAGTCGATAGGTCTTGTTTCTGTCTATAATGTAGACAACGTCGCCGAGCTTATTTCTTTGCTTATGCCGCTTTTTTTGTAGAAATTACTAAAAAATACGTTTTTCTTTACCTTATTCTTTTTCAGTAGTTTCGCAACGAATTTTCTCCAGCTTGGACGATACTTGCTCAGAATGATGAGCGGAAGAATCCAGACAACGTCGCAGGGTACAAGAGGGACGGCGCGGGGGTAAAAATTTAAAGGACGCATCAAAAATCAAAACCCCGTGTTGCGAATTGCTGGTCCTGGAGCGAAAACTTGCACTCTGTAAAGCCGCCAAATAAAAGATTTCAAACCTTATTGCAGCATTTTTATCTGGTTTTCAGCAGTTTCTCTTGCTTTTATATCTATTTTACGTCATTTTTTCTTCTCTGATCTTCTTCAAACAACCTTCACTATTTATGACGTCAGATGTTCAAACAACCTTCACTTTTGGCGCCCTGTCTCTAGACTATCGAAGGTATGCCGCTGATAAATTTTCTTGGACTTTAGCATGTCATAACGTCTTGAGATAAGTTGTATAACAAGAAAACAATCCATCGTGATTCTAGTAACAGAAACATTGATAAAGGCTGGGGCAGGTAAGAGCATTTTAGCTACTGCATCTAAAACTTTTTGAAATTCTCTCGTCTAGCATTTTCAAAATGCTTTGGAAATGATAAATTTTATCATATGTAAGTCGTAGTTCCAGACTTTTTTGGAGTTGTCTTTGGAGCATTCAACGCTCTAATAGGAAGAGTGAATCAAATGTCTCGGATTTGGACTAACGCACGCTTCCAATATTATGATAGCACTTTTCGAGATATATACCTTTCCATTCTTGTCCAAGCACGCCTTGTATGTGACTTGACCTTGTGCTACAAAGCACATGGTAGCAATGACAGTTATCTGAAGCATTTCCATTTGGCACTCCACAAGTTGCACCAGTGTGTTTTAATTCTAGAACAAATAATATTACTGATTACGAAGCAAAGAAAGGAAGAGAGAGACTTAATGACTGCTCGTTTTGCAAAGCTCTTTTTATACGTTCTGCCTTTTATGCACATGTATGGCTTGAGTCCTTCTTTGCACAGCTGGATGCATGCGAATTTTTGATTTAAAGCCATAATGCATGTTTTCTTTTGCCTCGCATCACGAGTTTATTGACTGCGTTCTGCTTTCATTAAACTCGGCTATAAGGTGTGACTTAGTACTAATTAGCGCGTAGTAAATTGAGATAAACGAGTAGCTGCCTTTGGATCTGCGACAGATTGGTGTGGCGAGGTATTGCCTTGAAATGATTCTGCACATTTTCTAAACCGATCTCATTTTGGCGATAAAAGTGTTATTAGTAGGTTGTTGCAAGAATAATGTCCGTATCGCGGATCGCGATCAGAAGGGATTACCATAGAAAGACCGATGCTTGTTGACGTAAATTAGATATGTTTTTGTAATATCGAATTGTTTGTTTATGACATTCTATGTAGTCCTTTTTCCCATTCGGGAAATGTTCATTCTTCTCCTCGCCTCGATCATATAAAGTTGTACGACATTGTGTGTGTGTGTGTGTGTATGTGTGTGTGTGTGTGTGTGTGTGTGTGTGTGTGTGTGTGTGTGTGTGTGTGTGTGTGTGTGTGTGTGTGTGTGTGTGTGTGTGTGTGTGTGTGTGTGTGTGTGTGTGTGTGTGTGTGTGTGTGTGTGTGTGTGTGTGTGTGTGTGTGTGTGTGTGTGTGTGTGTGTGTGTGTGTGTGTGTGTGTGTGTGTGTGTGTGTGTGTGTGTGTGTGTGTGTGTGTGTGTGTTAATCTTGATTGGTCGAGGATAACGTGTGGTAGCGTTACACTTCTACCAAAAGGGGTACAAAAGTTCTCGATAGGGGAGGTATACCAATGTGCAAAGAAAAATGAGGGGTATTTGTGCCACTAAGCATGTTAGACGCAGAGACGAACCCTCCTAAAAAGATTTTATCAAGTGCCTTTTTCCAGTGGATTTTAACAACGACGCTCAGACGCTAACGTCAAAAGTGCTTTCTTCACCTGCAGATCAATTCTTTATAGTTAAGAGCCAGAAATCTGACTTAGTCAAGTGATTAGTGACAAAAGTTCGAATAAAAGAGGTTTTTGAATTGGTGCTCCTTAAAGATGCGTCCACTTCGAACAGCAGGTTTCTTGTTGTTTCTGGTACCATCTTTTTATGCGATTTAGAGTGTGTTCATTGCACTATTTATTGCACTCAAAAAGTACTGACAGTGTTAAATTTTTTTTCACTTTTTTTTCTAGAGCTTTGTTTTGAAGTCAATGTATACACGATTAATGATACCGAAAGATTGGGCGCCGTTGCGTCCAACCACGGTAGTTCGAGCAGAGGAGATGCAGCAGATAATAATAGGAACGAAAGAGAGCTCGATCGGAGAGACGCCGATACGTTCGCAGTCTTTGCGTGCTACGAATCGCCTATACTTATAAATACAAAAGTAAGAGCCTTCTTTTAATGCAACCTTTGGCACTCTTTAGATTGCTCTGCAGCTGTTTGTACGCAACAAGGAAGTGTTGAAGTAGATCAAATTTATCTATTAAACGTGCTCCTCTAGCACCATGTGTTCCCGTAAGGTCCACCATATGACTTCGTAAGGCACCCTATTGAAGGCTTTTTTCAGAAAGGCTGCATGCCATTCTTTCTGCTTCTCCCTACATTTCTTCATCACTAGCCGAGCGGAATGGATGGCGTCCGTTGTACCCACTCCTTTTACAAATTCGCGTTGACTTGGTGACAACTCTATGGTATCTCGCCGCGTTTTGGTTATTTGCTAGAAGATTTTTTGAGTGTGGCTCAACAGTCAGATTAGTCGGTAGGATGCGCAACCTGCTAAGTCTGCTTTGTTTCCATATCGCGATAGTTGTGCTGGCGTATTAGTCACGAGGATACTCTTGCTTCTTATGATTCAATCTAGAAACTCTTTAGCCATGAGACTACGAATCGTCCACATATTTTCCACTATTTGCTTGGTCTGTCGTCTGCACTAGTAATCGCTTTGCCATTCTTTGTTCCTCTTACAGCTAGCCATACTTAATCTTCCTTGACTGCTGGTACTGGTCCTTTTATGGGAGTGGTTCCGGGATGGAGTTGACGGTGCGGCCTGTGGTGGCCATCTTTTCGAAGTAGGTTCTCCATTTTGCGCAATGTTCTTTGATTTTCTTAGCGTTCTTAACAACTTTGTCTTTGATAAAGTGCTCCATATCTTTTGTAGACCACGCTCTTCTTTTCGTTATCCGGTATTTCTCACGTTCTCCCTTGCAGACTCTAATCGATCGTAAAGCTTTTTCATGTACACCTTACCTTTTTAAAGAAGACTTTGCAGCGTGTTTGATTTGATAGTATATCTAGTAATCGTTCTCGGGTTTTGTTTCAGGAGATTGCTTGCACGCATCCTTCTTCTTCTTTATAACTCGTTGCATTTCGTCGCTCCACCACCACCTTCTTCGATTGGTCCTTTATCATCTTTCTGGCTTTGTAATTCTCAGGGTCATGTGTGCCACTAGTTGGACCAGATATCTAAGACTGCTCAGTGGCCGTATTCATCAACGAACCCCGAGGGTTAAACTAACCCTGGAGGGTTAGTTTAACCCTGGAAAGCGTTTAACCCGTATTCATGAAACACAGGGTAAGCTTAACCCTGAGGGTTAAATCTAACCTTGAGGGTTAATTTTACCCCGAAAGCGACTAACCCGTATTCATCAACGGACCGTGAGGGTTAAACTAACCCTGGAGGGTTAAACTTACGTGATTCATCAGGGTTAATTTAACCCTAGCTCAGATCGAGGTTAACTCTACCTAACAGGCTACTTCATACAAACATTTACTCGCATCCAATTGTTTATGGAAAACGATCAACGAGTATTGTAATATTTAGCATTTATGCTATAGTATTTAGTTTCGACTTCGTTTTATGTTCATATTCGAAGTACATGAAACACTGACTTCGCGAGAAAAAGAATTCTAGCTTTAGTGACAAATGAATGCGATAAGGAAAAATGGTTGCGCATTTTACTCTGACAAGTGCCAAAATTGGAGAACCCCTTTACGATAACACGCATTGACTCCTAAAAGAGTAGCACAAGCCCGGTATAAAACGAACTGCGCAAAAGTAGAACTTACACGACACAATTGCACACATGAAAATAAACTCACGCTGTAAGTTTGGATGCTGCACAAGTATGCTGGAGATGTATTATAAAAACTAGTGTTAGAAGCTTATTCGTTGACTATACTACTATAACAGTGAAGGAATAGAAGTATAAAGTGAATTTAGCCCGTACTTAGGCATTCTGTGATGTGAGTTTGCACAGCGCACGCGTAACTGACGCCTTAACCCTCCAGGGTTAGTTTAACCCTCAGGGTTGATGAATACGGCCACAAGTTCGTTGATCGATACGGGTAGATCGCGTTCCGTGGTAAACCCTAGCCTATGGTTGATGAATACGGCCAATGACCCCTGAGGGTTAAACTAACCCTGGAGGGTAAGCTTAACCCTCAGGGTTCGTTGATGAATACGGCCACAGGAACGCTCTGAGTTCTCTTCCAGGCTTGGGAGAGTTATTGGTACCGCTTGCCTTACCTCGCTATTTTCGCCAATCTCTACCATTTGATGCATGTCCTTTAGCTTAGAAGTCTATCTGCGTCGATCCCCACTCGCATATGTAATGAGGTGCTCATCCGTCTTGATGCAATATGTGTTCGCCAAGACCAGATCACGAGCTGAGGCAAATTTTAAAATGCGCTCACCTTCTTCATTGCATGTTCCGTATCCGTGCCTTCCGTGAGGCTTCCGGCTTCTTCTCGCCTTTCTCCCACAGGTCTCTTGAAATCCGCTCCTAGCAGGAGTGTTTTATCCAGTGGAGTTGAACTGCTTTGGCCATCTGCTGAGTTACTGTCAGAACGCGTCCTTTCTATCATCATTCATCCGGTGGCGCATAGGCGGTGATTACTCGTAAAACGTGTTTTCTGTATCTATCTTTGTGCTCATCGGACGGTCGCTTATACGCTTAACATCAACTATATTGCTCTTTAGAAGGTCAGCTATACCATTTCCGTTTGTTGTGTAAGTGGCACCATTGTGATGGAGTTTAAACAGTCTCCAATGTCGCGTGTTTGCCCCTCTCGCTTCGTTTCTTGTATGCAGGCTACATCGATCTGCCGTTTCTTCAGAAGATCGGCCAGCTTTTGAGAACGAGAGGTGAGGGTGTCCATATTGATGTAGCTAAACGGAAAGTGTGCAATGCCTTGGACCGTTGCTCCTGATGTGCTGGCCACTTTAGCCGTCCCATTTACCTTGCCGTGATGGTAACCTTCGCCCAATATTCGCATTCTTTTTTCCACATCCCATTTCCCACATTCGCAGCTCGAATGAGCGTCGCTTCCTGGGGAAGCCCTATCTTTACCCGATATTCTTCATGAGACATGTCTGAACTTGATGCGACGGGGCTTTTGAGCCGTCTGTTGACACTATGGCATCACGTCTAACTATGTTTTCGCTGTTCCCCTACCATGGCCCACTCGAAATACGATGCAAAGTCAGTAGTTAAAAAGGACTTTTACCTCTTCAATTCTCAAGTTCTAAAGCTTCAAAGCTCTGCAATTTTTTTACAGTAACGCAAAATACTCGGTAGAGAAGGGAAATTTTTGAAAGCACATGCAGATTTTATTGAACATCTCACAAAATTTCAAGAAACATTTGAATCAAAAAATGCGAAAGAATCTTCAACATTTTAGAGCGAACGTTTCGTTTCTTCAGCAATTCGTATCCATGATCTATGCGGGGTGCTTAAAATTTCGGTTAAATTCGGCAGATGAACGCACCAAAGTTGAAGGCCCGCATTAGTGCCTCCTTGAATTCTAGAGTGTGTTTGTCAGTATCTCATTGACATGTGTATCACAATTTTGCTTTTATTACGCTGGCCAAAAATAATGAGAGTGTTACGGATTTTCACGATTTGTTATGATTTTCAAAAAAATCTACATTTCCAAATGGGATAAAGACCATCAGAAGCAGCAAACCTCGCAATACAGCGCGCACTAAACTTTCCTCATATTACAAATCAGCAGAAATATGGATTGAAAACAAAAAAGTTTTTTTTTGAAAAACCGCTTTTGACAAACCATAACTCCCTTCAAAGTTTGTTACTAAGACTAAAGAGTAGCCTATCTTTTAACTTCTGATCGTAGAAATAGAAACATTAGTATAAGTGCCGTATTATGTCATTGATGTGTATTTTGAGAATTGATTTCAGCGAGAAAAGACTATCCTTGCTCCATTTCATTCCTCTCAATTTGTTTTGTTTCGTGGTATTCAAACTAAATAAATTTACATTATACCTTCGTTACATAGAGCCATGTACTCTGGTAAACTTCACTTTGAGCGCTACGATAGAACGCAACCTTTACCCGAAAAAAGAAGAGAAGTCATTCAGATCGAAGCCTTCATATTATGGCACAACTATGTAGATATGAATGTGAATGAGGTAAGTATAGCGAGTGATATGTAAAAAAAGCTCGAATACCGAAAGAATGCGTTCTATAGCCTTTTTTGCTGAAAAGAAACTTCTTATTTAGAAATTTCCCTAGAAAGAATTTCCCTTTCCCTTTCTCCACCTTCAGGACGACAAATCCCAACTTGTTCTAGACTACGATTGGGTGTTAGAAGTTCACGAAAACTTTTGGAGTCAAACAAAAACGAGAAACTGCGCTCAAATCTTGCGCAGAGAGTCGCGCACAAAAACGCTGGTCTATCTCGTTAATGAGTGATTTTCAACGATTGGGACGCTGTGTAAATGCTCTTCGTCATGTGATGACGATCAGAATGATATATAATGTTGCAGGGCTTTGCTGATACCCCGCGGAGATCTATGACCAGAACCAAATGCCCCGTCGGCTCTGGTCTGTCTCTGCTGCTCGTCTTCGTCTCCGCGCTTTGGGCGCTACCTTTCTACCTCAAAGCGAGGCGCGGGGCATTTGGCTCTGGTCCCCTTTTCTTCGTTGTTTCAAACCCATATTCAGCAAGCTATATATCATTTTGAAGCTCTTGATCCCTACTTTTAATGACAATTCCAAAACCACATTTTTTGCTTTGAACGAGAAATCCGGTGAAAACCTTGTTTTCGAAAATCCCTTGTTTTCTCCTGGTTCAACTCTTTTCACGCGATTTTTTCGTGCATTATATAGATCTTGCTTTTGTTTATAATATAAACAACGACCCGGTGCTTATCTCTTCGACTATGGCGGAATTTCTCGTAAAAAATTGCAAAAAGTGCGCTTTTCTTTACCTTCTTCTGTTTCAGTGCTTTCGCACTGATTTTCTTCCACTTGGACTCACTGCTTGCTTGTCAGAAAATCAAGCGCAACAATTCAGACAACGTCCAGAAGACAGTAACGTCAATGCGGGGGTAAAAATCCAAAAGACGCAATAAGAACGAGATTTGGCTCTGACGTGCATTTTGACCTAGTAAAAAAGGAATTTTGCTTTTCATAACTAGTTTCTTTCTTGCTTATCTTCTCTTAATAATCGCTGCTTCCCAAACATGGTTGGTTTTGGAATAAACACAAAGAAAAAACTAGCTTTTAAAACTAACTCGTTTTCCCCCGCGTTGAGGATTATGTGGTCCTGGAGCGAAGACCCAATTTTCAAGAGTTTCTTTTGCTTTTGCTAACTTTTGCGTCTTTTTTTCTTCTCTGGTTTTTTATGATCGACCTTCTCCTTTTAGGGGGCACATAATCAAACAACCTTCACTTTTGAGGCCTTGTCTTTAAACATTGTATGATCCACATGGAAATTCACGATGTATATACTGGTCAAATAATCATTTTTTCTCGATTTCGTAGCAACAGAAGATATTCAAAGATGGTGGCAAAACATACTCGACAGAAACTGTCTTGTTATTACTGCGCTAATGTTGTAGTACGAAAACATCAAAAAAATTTTTATATACAGCTCACGTTCCATGTCGGAGCAAATTCACATATTTGTAGAAAAAGTGAAAGCACCAAAGTTTGCTGAGCAGTCGAATCGATTTTATTGAAATCACACCATATAGTAGGGTGGCGGGGCATCTTTGATTACTCTAATGTATGTCGTTGGCCTGGATCTGCACCTAGAAACATAAATATTTGAATATGCAAGAGTTGGTGGTACTTTCATACAGCCACATCGTAAAAAATACTCTAATACATCATTTTTCAGTTGCAAAAATACTCAATTCAAATTTTTCAAAACGGAAAAAATCGTACCTGTCATACACCAAATAACTGGATATTACAATAAAGACTATAATGAGATAAAGGACAACATGAGTGAAGAATGCGGGAAGAACTGGTTCGCTCATGGCCGGTAAAATTCGACGATCGCATGATTCTCCCCAATAGCCTATAAGAAAAAAATTTATATGCCTTGAATAAGCTCAATGTTCTACAAACAAGTTTAACTGTGTGTCGTTCTACTAGGTTGTGCCAAAATTAAACCCTTTTTTCCCATAAAATAAACTGTTTTTTCCCTAGCAGACTTAGGAGTACTATTTGATAAAGCTAAGCAAGCTTCACAGAAGGACCACCAAAGGTCCATCTAAATCTTAATCTAGGTGAATTTGAGGTCAAAATTTTTTAAACTTTTCTTAAAATCGACCTTTACCTTGGACATCATACCGTAGACAACAGTACTCAAAAAAGCAAAAAAGCAAAAATAGCCCGAAAATGCAAAAAATGTCACTTTTTCGGTTCAACGTTAAGCTTGATATTTTTTTGATTATCAGGGTACATACAGAGGTATAATTCTAAGGTTATACTCACTAAAGCCTGCTTATACAATCACACCTGGGAGGAGCTGGGAGCGGAGTTTTCTAATACTGGACGAGCTTGTTTTCCCAATTTCTATGCTCGAAAAAATCCAACAAATGCAATTTTGAATACTACTGTGTGTATATTGTATGAGGATCAAGTTTGAGGTTCCAATTTTCAGAAGGAAGTCGGATTTTATAGTAGTTGAAAAATTTTAGTTTTCAGCTCCAAACTTCACCTGAACGACTTAGGTGGATCTTTGGTGTTCATTTTTCATAGCTTGCTTCGTTCTATCGAATGGTACTTTAAGTCTGCCAGTTAAACAAAATAGCTTGGTTTGTTTAGAAAAGGAAAACACTTTCGGGACTTATTCATAAAAAAATAAATGCGGGAAATTATTTCAACGATTAGAAACACAGATTCTCTGGCATTGTGCAAGTCGCTTATAAGGGCACGCACTCATCCGCTCAAAATATTTCAACCACATATCTTCGAGTTGCTGTAAAATTCGTTAAAATAAGTACATTCATAGAAAAAACGCAAAAGGGATGAAGAAAATAAAGCGTTGCCTGAAGAAAAGTGGGCCTCTTCTTATTTTGAATGAAATAGAAAAAACTTCTTGGGAAAGTGACGAGTAACGAGTGACGAGTATCTTATCCACCCTTGAATTTAGAGGAAGGAACGAAAAAAAGGTTTGTAAACAATTCTAATCTTTCTTTTGTTAATGCAAACTAGCTTTCCTCTTTACTGGTAAATTTCACATTCCTTAAGGGAGGATATCGTAAAAGTCTATATTCAAGCTTGTTCTTCTGCAAAATTACTTTCAACTTTCCGCTTGTTTTTTTCGTTTGATACGAAAGGTCCTTGACAGTTGGCTGACAGAACAGGTCATTAGATTTCTAAATATATCCAGCGAAGGAAAAAGCAAAAAAATATACTTGTTTTGACAGCTGTGACAAAATTATGCAATCTCTAGGACTTCCTTATTCGGGGTTGGCGGTTGTCCAAAAAGGAGTCGTAAAACTCAAAGATAACTATAACTATTTTAAAAACTTTGAATGATCAAAAGAGTTTGCCAACAAATTGGATACTATTGCTACAACAATATTTGAAATAAAGATAGCTCTACAACTTTGACAATTCTTGAAAAAATATTCTTTATATTAAAGTTTCGGTGAATGAATGGCGTGCTATTTGACTAACTAAGATCAAGATATAGTGCCAAAAAATTCTGACTAGGCTGCATAACTTATTTTCGTATGACAATTAATTTGCAAAACATTGTCTTCGGTTAGTCGAAAAAATTTTTTATAATAAATGAAAATATGTGGAATGATCCTAATATCTTTGAAACATATCTGTAATTCCTAAAGACTGTGGTTGAAGCACATTGTTTAAAAAAACTGTTGTTAGTTCAGAAATATCGCAAAAAGTCATGGAAAGTATACACATTAGATGAGTCAAAAAAATCAAACGGTATCAATAAGATAGCAAAACAAATGTCCTCAAATTTGAGTTGGTAAGAAAAGTCCTTTTGTTTCAAATTTTTGCTCTAGTTCATTCCATTTCAACAATCATTTTTAGAACAGCTATAATCCTACCTGGTAGACAATATTCACAAAATGGTGGAGCATAATTGCCATGACAGCGGCAGGTTCTATCGATAGGATTTACTTGTCCATGTGAGCAAATTGGCCATTCACAGCCGTAACCGGAAAAATGAGGCTCGCAGAGAATATCTGAAACAATTTCATTTGGCATTGGGATGCAAAAATGTGCTAGAAATTCAATCAATCCAAGCTAAGCAAGTTTTTACCAGTCATCGCATACGTCCATTTCTTCCTAGTAGAAAGACGAATTCTGAAAATATAAAAATACAATTTTGCGAATAAATATGTGTATAAGAAATCGCGAACGATTGCATAAATTGTAAATGCAGGAAGAAAGCAGTGCTTGAGACAACCAGACATATGAAGGACCAAAAAATTGCACGAACCGCTCATAAATAGAAAATCCAAAATTTATCAACAGGCTTGAACAACTTTATAAGGAATTTTCTGCTGTCGAAGAATGTTCTTTTATTTCCCAAGGGACAAATTACTTGGGAAATTCGCAGCGAATTTCTTAGTGCGAAGCCGATCCGTTTGATATAGCTGAAGCAACTATAAGCTCGTTAGAGGTAAAATAGAAAGAATTTGAGCTCCACAGATAGAGAGCAATTAGCACGAGCATAAGAGGGGAAAAAACTGGATATCCATGCCGACATGTATGCTGAAGTTGTTTTTTCCTGAGTGATTTGAGGAAGAAAGGGAAGAGGGGAGATTGAAAACAAGAATTACTACAATTAGATTTACATTGAAAAGCCCCAAGATTTGTAGTCCATTTGCGGATATGAGGCTGCACAACTCTACTAAAGGAAATTTTTGATTTGATTTAATTTTTGTAATTTTCAGTCGTGTAGGTGTTTTAATGATATTTGAGCAATTTTCAGTCTCAAATAAGTACTTCTCAATGAATTTTCAGCCCGAAATGTCCTAACGATAAGAAATCTTTATCTTATCTAGGGAAGGGTGCTCGCGACTTCTCAAACGTCTTGTTACTAAAAAATTCTGATGAACAATAAAAATGTGCAGAGACGAAAGTAATGTGGTGCCGTTCCCAGAGTTAAGTGGGTTTGATCTGCACCCGCTAAACCCGGGTGGTCCCAACTCATTAATCACTCGGTGCCGTTGAGTAGTGGTGATCTTTGACCTAAATTTTCACTTGTTACCCCCTGCTGCTTTTCTCAATTTTTACAAAAAAAAGGCGAGAAAAAATATTTATTTCTGTTTTCTTCGAGAAGGAGATAATTAGTGTATATCAAAGAATATAAAGTCAAAATGCACCGAAACTGTAACACCCCGCAAAAAATGCCAACATTTTAGATTCTGAAATGCTTTATTTTACAAAACACGTGTAATAATTCGTCAAGGAAAAATTTGAAAATCGAGAATCTTATGTTGAACCACATAATAACTTAGGAGAGAAGTTCCGGAGCAAAATAGTAATTCAAGCCACCGAGAGCTAGGCACTGAGTGCATAGCTTTGATTGCCCAAATTGTAGGCTATGATCCCATATAACTACTGCACTTTTATGCACCAGAAAACCCTAAATTGTCTGCAGGACAAGAAATTTTCGTATTGAAAATTACTTGCATCTTTTGCTAGACATGTTGAGTATGCAATTTCACTTAGGATTAGTAAAAGATGCATATTTTGTACTTAGCTGCATATCTTTGCATTCATAAAGATTGCAGTAAGCTTTGATTTGATTTAAACCTCAAAAAAGCTGTCTAGAAAATATCTTTAGAATAATCAGGGATTCGTACTTCCCAAGAGCTTCCAGGAACTGACAAAGGACAAGAAAAGTGAAGTGAAAGCGGCAAGTAAGAAACGAGCAAGAGGACATTTTTTCAGAAAGAGCATTTTTTGTTAATGGGACCGATGTGAGAATATCAAGTAGCAACATTTTATTAGGTTGTCCCGAAAGTTCGTTCTGATTTGGAAAATTTGTAACTTTGCAATGTCTCAACGGATTTGCATCCTTTTAATCATATCTGAAAGAGTAAGTCTTTCGCTTTTTAAGACTTTCCTTCCTAGCCTCTAATGCGCATTGACTGCAGAGATAAAAATGGAGAGAGAAGACCATATAAGCTTTTATCATTTTAAGTTGGCCGCCAAAAATATTTACCGCTGCGGAAATCACTGGAAACGTAAGTACATAGGTTTTTTGACCTACTCTTTACAGTTGTGAAATGTTCGTGCTGTTTGGATGTGTTTATAAAAAGTTATGATTTTCGAGAAAAATGACAAATTAATTGATTTTGGCATTTTCTGTAAAGTCGAAATTCGTAACTTTTCGGGACGTCCGAACAGCACAAACTTTTCACTGTTGCAAAGAGTAGGTCAAAAAACCTGCGCACTTACATTTTCAGATTTTTTCGTAGCGTTTCAGACTTTTAGCGACCTAACCTGAAATGACCAAAGTTTATATGGTTTTCCTTTACCATTTTTATCTCTGCAGACAGTGTGTACTAGAAGCTAGGAAAAAAGTTTTGGAAAGAGAAAGACTTAGGCATTCGAATAAAATTAAAAGTATGCAAATCCATCGAGATAGCGCAAAGTTACATATTTTTAAAAATGAAACGACAGAACTTTTGGGACAACCTAATATTTTGAGTTAGCTACTTGATTCTCGTCTATTTTTGACAAAATGAGAAAAATAACCAGATGTGCTCTAATAACCACGGCCTAAGAAAAAACTCAAAATATGTCCATTTCGGAAAATATTGTATCGAAGGTTTTCCTTTTTCATCCAAATATAAAATTGTAATTATATGAATCGCTCTCTATATTGAAAAGTAACATGGTTACTCATTTTGCAATTTGAACAGTCAAAATAAAGCGTAAACAACAAAATAAGCTTTGCGAGATATACAATGTAGATGAATAAAATAATTCAACGTAATTATAACATACAGTGTAAATGAGCTTTTTATCTAGCTGCGAAATAACAACTTTTCGAAAATTTTCTTCACCGCAACTCAAATATTCATTCCAAGCAAGCAAACCCAAAAAGAGCATTCCTCGGCATCACTTAGCTCTGCAAAATCTAAATGCATTTTTTTCCCAGCTGCAAGATCTCCCCAAGGAGATTGTGGACGAATAGAGAATGGATGCGCTTTTGACAGATTTAGTGCTTTTGCAGACTTGCTCCTTCCCCCCCCCCTCCCGCTTTGAATTCGTTTACCACGGTAAGTGCTGAGTCTCATAATTTACTTTTCCGTTCGAGTGTTCAGTGTTAACGTACAAAGAAGTGCACTTCACGTTTGTTGCTAGCGGCAAGCGGAATTGAATCTGTCATTGGTTTTCTTCACTCTTCGAGATGTATGTGCACTTTGATGGTTTTGTTCAAAGGTAATTGCAAGAAGGAAAAATCACAGAAAAATTTATTACCCAGAGGCCTCCCATATGCTTAAAAATGACTGACTTTTCTCCTAATTTTCTATAAATTCAATATTAGAATCAGATGAAGTACAACCTGGAAGTTAATGACGTTGAGTCAGTTTGAGGAGTTTGAAATTCTAGATACCTCAATTTTAATCCCAAATCATTTGAAACTGGGGTTCTGGTCAGTGTTATTCTTGAAAACTGCAGAAAAAATTGTCAATAAAAAGAGCTTCGAAACAGCAGAAGCCATGTGGAAAACACGCTTTTTCATGATCTTGCCAAAATCAAAGAACAGAATTTTGTCGGAAAAGGTGCCGTAAATGTATTTTCACAGGAAAATAAGTCGCTAAGACATTGAAACATTTATCGGATACAAAACAATGCTTTTTGTTTGAATTATACCTTACAAACCCCTCATTGCCCCTCAGATGAGATTTATATGTACTTCCCTTTAGCTTTGAGAATGAGTACAAAAAATTTATTACTATGAGGAAGGCCGAAAAGACGACCTTGTTTGAATGAAAAAATTCGGCAATTTTACGAAAAGTGCTTGAAAAAAGGTGGAAGAAATTGCAGCAAAAAACAAAATTCAAAAGATTATGTGAAAAAAATGGACTGAAAGCATTATTTTGAATAAAAATCACTTGAGAAATAATTCAAATATTTACCAAAGAGAACAGTTTTACTTTTCAGTTCACTTTGTCCAGGACTAACAGCCGATTCTAAGGAAAAACACTTTTGCACTGACTTTGTTGCTGATTTGCGCTGAATTTTGATAATTGATTATGACTGTTCGAATATTTTGGACAGTACATCAGAAAATATTATTATCAAGCATTTATGTAACCACTAGTAAATAGGATCGCCGTCGCCAAGTAACAAACGAAGTCAGACTAGCACTGGAAGTCGCCTGAAACTTTGCATATCTAAGCTGTTTGCTGTTTTTGTGTTCAAGGCTGCATTCGAAATGCAAAGTGAGTTTTGAAGACGACTGGAAACAAAACAAAAACAGGAACTGACTCTGAATCTGGGGCCGGGACTATAGTTCCTGAATACCAGTTGGGATTTTGAATAATTTTGTTTTTAGGCATGGATGGGTCAAAGCCTAAGGTCTTGGAAACTATCACATTTTCCAAGCTGTTAAAAGTTTCCAAAATTACAATGTCAGGAGATGACACCTCAGGAAATTTAACAAGATGGAAACAAGAAAGAGGAGCTAGAGCTAATTTTCTGGAATACTAGTGTTTTCACAGAATAATTTTGCTTTTGGAAAACTATAGGCCCATTGGGAGACAATAAAACCAGGCAACGGCATCAAAAAAAGCTCTGTATGAAGTGAATAGGCCTTAATATTGAATAGGGAAGCTATTCAGCATGCTCAACCAAGCTATGGCAGCAATAGAATACGAATGCAATGAGGAAAAGAAAGCTTACTTCTTTGATTAAAAAGCGTTGACGGGCTTGCCAACAATATAGGCCTTCTAGTATCTTTGAAAAATAACATATGGAGATGGAGCCATAGCTAATTTTCTACGATTTTTCATTCTTTGAAAAGAGGAAGGAACGAACAGGTGCTTTAGTCTTTTATTTTTCAAGCACTTTACATGTTATAGAGTTGCCAAATAGCTTTGTAAAACAAGTCTTCAAAGAATTGTTAGAAAAAAAAATATTTTTTTGGATTGTTTGTAGAAAAAGTGATAATTCCTTGTTTATTCATTTGCTTACTTATTTCTTCATTTTTTGTTTGCGAAAAAATTTGTCAAAAAATCAAATCAAAAATAATTATGTTCATGTTTTCTTGTTCTTTGAAGACTTTACACTGAGTAGAGAGTTGTTGGACAGCTTCAGATTAAAAATCTTCGAAAAAGGTAAGTCTCT